CTCCTGTTTGCTGTTTGCAGCCACCATGAAAGGCTGCCCCGCCATGCCCGCCTGCCTGGGAGCCAACTGAACGTGGACTGAAACCTCCGAAAACTGTAAGAAATAAACCTTTCCTTTCCCAACTTTCGGCTTCAGGTATTTTGTCTCAGCGACGAGTAAAAAGTAACTAAGACACGGGCCCTATACAAACTCCTTAGCCCCGGTAGTCATACACCCTTCTCTAAAGGCTATCATTCTTCAGATTACTCACACCTGTCATGTCTGTGCTAGGACCTCTCCTCAAGGACATATAGCACCCCTTCCTTTCCTACACATCAATTTCTCAGACACAACCCTGGTCAAAACTGACAGATAAATTTTACACACATGCCTTGCTACAAAACTCTCAAAATATCTTCTCACCTTTGTTTGTACTTTTTCAGGATAAATAAAAGCCTTTCCCACAACCAGGGAGACTGCTGATATACTTACTAAAGTCCTGTTACAGCAAATCATCCCAAGGACTACAACCAAGGTGGAACGGTCCATACCTGGTCTTCTTGGCAACCTCAACAGCAGTCAAAGTTGCTAGACTGCCATCCTGGTTTCACATCACTCAGGCTTAGCAATGCCCTCCCAGCCCTAGATCTAATGATCCTTTTGCCCACTTATGTGCACCTCACCAAGGCCTCACAGCCACAACTCTCAGGCTAAGTCATTTTTTGTTACCCAACTTAGTTCCTAATTTCTTAAATTCTATTAATTATCCTTTTTACAGCAGCACTCTTAACAGTCTTTCCTTAAGACTCCCACATCATGCGTAAGATCATCTTCATATGGTTCTACGTGACAACTGTCTTTGTTCTTTCTACCCTCAGCTGTTTGGTTAAACGTGAGATCCCTAAAGGCCTAGGTTCTTACCTTCCCTATAGTGACACAGCCATGGCCTTCCCCATCCCTCCTATTTTTTCCAGCTTAACTCCTTTGACCAGAGACAAGCCTTACCTACCTACCCTCTTAACTTTTACCCTTTCAGATGGGGGAATAATCACCTCTCATAACTTTACTCCTCCTAACCCCACACTTATTTTTCAGAATTCTACCTCACCGTGGCAATGATTTTACCTCAACATGGTCCTGATAAAATGACATATCTAAATCAAAGGCACCTTTCTTTCTACCTCACCTGGGTCCTTAAATATGATAGTGGCCTGCCTCCTCATGACACCTTGTCTCTGTTTTTCCAGTCTAACGTAAAAGCATTCACCAGTGATAAAGTTGTCTTGGATAAAACACCTGGTGGGCATCAATTATCATCCCATCGGCCCTTCTAAACCCCAGTACATCGCCCCCTTTCAGCAGGAATTAGCAAAAGAAAGAAAAGCTTCGCCCTTTTTCCTAATAAAAAGATGGCAATGAAAGGATTTTGGGGATGCTGCAGTGGTGGGAAGCTGGACCTTTCCTGCCCTTAAGCAATTTACCTGTGGTGCGAAATAAATTCCAATGAGCTACCTGTGTATCAGTAATGCCCCTTAGGCTCCACCCCAAACCTAAGCTATATATATGCCCTCACACGTGTATGGCAGAGAGAAAGCCAGACTTTAGTGGTCAGGGGTTCTCTCTCTGCATTCTCAGAATAAAGACCACTTTTATTTCATATTTCTATCTTTTTAGCCGCACCAAAAATTCTATCAGGGGCAATCAAAATTTGTAACACTCTAGTCAAACTGACCAAAAGCACCCTAAAACAGGAGTTATCAATCCCTAACATATTAACATTGGGAACTGTGGTACTCTGATATAGTATGAGATACATATATTGTTTTCTGCCCCAGATCCTAACTGAGCTCCTAAATCTTCTGCCATCTATCACTCAGGAGCATCTTTTGTTCCAGGCAAGTGACACTCATGGGCTTCTGATGGGTCTGGCTGCCCAAGGAATCAACCATGAGATTAGAACGTCGGAACTTCCAGTTCCACTCCAGCTCTATATAATCAGAGTTGAGTGGGTCACCAGTGGGCTTCCCTAAAGAAGTTTCCATAAAAATTCAAAAGGACAAGTTTCAGAGAACTTCTGGAACACTACATGAGTGAAGAATCCTGGAAGTGGTTCTCAGAGAGGGCAGAGAGGCCCCGCCTCTCCATATTCCTGGACTGTGCCACCTGTCCACCAGGCTCTCCATCCCATATCTTTTGGGATATCGTGTGTAATAAACCAGTACATATTAGCGTTCCCCTGAGCTCTGTGAGCCACTCCAACAAACCAACCAGACCTGAGGTGAGGGTCATGAAAACCACTGGCCACTCCTGGGGGACTGTCTTGGGATGGAGTCTGTCTGGCATGAAGCAACTCAGCTGGTTAGTGGAAAACCCACGTGTTTTGGCAATCAGAAGTAAAGTGGAAGGTGCCCGAGTGGTGTATGTGTAACAAGAAAAGTACTTTTATGGTTTTTGTTTTTTTCCTAGCTCTTTGCAACAAAAGAAGGTGCAACACTACTGACCTGCAGGCATCTATGTATTCAGGGAGCACCATGACAACACAATACACACATCCCACAATGAAGGTGCAGTCAAACAAGTTTTCAAAAGATATGAAGTACTTTAAACTTACCCAGGAAGAAATAACCTGAATGTTCTGTATCTAGCAAAAAAACATCGCATTTAACATTTTCCAAAAAGTTGACATTAGGCCCAGATAGGTTCACTTTTAACAAATATTTCAGTAAAACGTATCAATTTTACATTGTCTCTGCAGCAAACAGAAGAGAAGAAACACGTCCCAGTTCATTTTAGGAGCTCAAGTCAGACAAACAATACAAGAAAACTATAGGACAAAAGTCCTGAATGCTGATACAGAGTGTTCAACAAAATATTAAACCAACTGCCGCACAACAGGAGGCTGAGGCAGGATGGTCACAAATTGAACCCTGGACCTAGAGTAAGACCAAATCCCCCAAAATAAAGGTTGGAATGTAGCTCAGTGTGAAGGCTCCAGCACTGACATAAATAATATGTAAAAATAATAATATAACTGAAGTAAATATGATAACTGAGTGGGGCTTTTTTTGGAACTATAAAACATAGTGAATGTACAAAAGTCTACGTAATCTACTTTATTAACAGGCTAAACAGCAAAAATGACATGGTCAGTAAAAGATACAAAGTAGCACAGCACATTTCAATATTCATTCATGATTTAAAAAAACACTCAGCAAAGTAGGAACACAAAGGTTCATTCTTAAATTGAGCACTTGGATTACAGGTGTGTATGCTGTGAAATTTTATGCCCAAGTTTTTATGTAGACATATATTTTTGTTTCTCTTGGATAAACACTTAAAGGTAGAACTGCTGGTAACATAGTAACTATTTAATCTTTTGAGGAACTGCCAGGCTATTTTACAAAGCAATAGGACTACTTTATATTCCCATCCAATTCTTTGGACACAGATTTAGAGTCAACACAATCCCAATTTAAAAAACCAACAAGATCCTAAAACTTATACTGAATGGCAGAGGAACTAGAACAGTGAAACAATCTGAAAAACAAAAAAAAAGAAAGTTGGGAGAATTCACACTGCACATTCACACAAAAAGAAGATGTAATAAACCTTCCATAACTCAGGCATCTGGTAAATAACAGAGAACGTATAGCCCAATGGAAAAGTATACAGAAATAATACACTGATGCTGTGATAGATTTTGACCTACATATCCAGACAATTCAATGACACAGAACAACTGGCCATACATATAATGTACAAATGATATTGGCTGTCTCTTTAGGCCCTGAACAAAAGTTAATTCAAAACTGACCACAGAACCAGAAAGTTAAATGATAAAAGTCTTGGGATAATTTAGTAAGAACAAATCAACACACTAGACTTCATAAAAATTAACAAATTTTGCATTTCAAAGAAAACTACAGAGAAGGAAGAGATCAGCATGGACTGGTAAAAATAGTTCACATATAAAATACATATAGAATATATAGAACAGTTCTTAAAACTCAAGAGGATGAAAACAAAAAATTCAATTAAAAAACAGGCCAAATAGATACACAGATTTTGCAGAAAAAAATACGAAAAGATGCCCAAAGCTTGAGTCATCAGGGATAGTACATTCTAACAATGATATGACATTATATGCGTCACTATGCCTGGGACCCTTTGCTTGGTGGGAGGATGAACACAGGCCCCTCCTGGTGTTTTTGCCAAAGACAAAACCCATGCCCATGCACACACCTGTGAAGCTTGCTGCAAAATTTGCAATATTAAAAGCTGAAAACAACCCACACATCCTCTAGCGGCCTGTGCACCCTATGAAATGCAACTTAGAAATAAAAAGGAACCATCCAAGGGGACAAAGACAACCAAAGGAGAATGGAGTAGCCCTTCCAGAGAGCTACATGCTCCTTGGTTTCCCTATATGACGTCTGACATTCAGCAAACAGCCCAGATTGGTGGCATGGGTCAACAGCTGTGTTCTTTTGAGGGCCAATTTTGCCCTGCATTTGTAATGGTGGTGGTCATGCAAGTCCCCAGCACATACACGTGTGAAACTTTCATGACATTGTACCAAAAAATGGCAAATTTTATATGTAAATTTAAAAATAAAATTTTAAAAGTCTTCACTATGAAAAAGTAAAGCAAATTACAAACAAAAAAACTCCTAACTATGTCACACAATACTATTAGGAAATCTCTAAATGATTTAAAGAGCCAAATAAAGACCTAATTTGAACAGATAATCATATTCTTAGTTTCCTTCTATGAATATAAACCAATTCTAGGCCAGGATTACATAGGATACTACAAATGTATGTTTGTGACTAAAGTAGAAATGTCATTGCTATGATGTTAAACAAAACATTCTGCAGTGTTGTGTACCATAATCCACGCAATGCAAACAAACATTCCAGAATACTGAGCGAGACCTCACACTAGAGGGGACAGAGAATAGGAAGGAGCCCAATAGAGAAGAGGGTCTGAGGCTAAGACAGGAAGAGGGCATGGACACTCACACTCAGGATGCAGCCCTTCTGCACATGGTGCCTCAGGGTCTTCTCAAGCCTGGACACAGCTCTGCACAGCTCTGCCTTCTCCTTGGTCACAGTGCTGATGGCTTCCGTGAGAGAATCATTGTCTCTCAACAATACATCCACCAGCTGCACTTGTAGCTCTGCTGCTATTTTTTTCTTGAAAAGGAGAAAACAAACTTATAAAATATTTTTGTTAGCTAGGCACTGTAATCCCAGGTACTCAGGAGGCTAAAGCAGGAGAAACTTGAGTTCGAGGCCAGACTAGGCATTTTAGTGACACTGTGCCTCAAAATAAAGTAATAAAGGGCTCGGGATGTAGCTCAGTTGTAGAACATTAACCTAGCATGCACAGGCCTCGACTTCACTTTTCAGTACTGCCAAAACAAACATAATTTTTTCTTGTGGCTATAAAAGGGCAGGCATATTATTGTGCGTAACTGTCATTGGTTATTTTTAATACTTGTAAATATGTCTGGAATTGGACGGTTGTGGGGCTAGGTACAGCTAGATTATCTATAGCACAGTAAGTAATAAAAGTCATTATGGCACATATCTTTTTAGTCCTCTGCAAAATACTTTGAACAGGGCCATAGATACAGCTCACTAGCACAGTACCTGTCTGGTAAGCAGGAGGTCCTGAGTTCAATTCCCAGTACCAAAAAAAAAAAAAAAAAAAAAAAAAAACTTTGTACAAAATTGGCCTATATGAATAGTATTAGTTGTTAACTGTATAAATACTATTAGTTGTTCTAATAAGACCATACTAACACAGCAACTTAGTGAGATCCTGTCTCAAAGAATAAAAAGGGCTGAGGATGCAGCTCATTGCAAAGGTTTTGGGTTCAACCTCCTAGGATTGGCAAAAAAATAAGGCCCATTATCTCTGTAATCAGAATGTTTAGCTCACTTAAGGAGGGCCAAATCTTACCAGGGACCCACAACAAAGGGGAAAAGACACACACCAGTGATAACCTCAGCAGGCAGGATCAGAGAGCAAGCAGGTGGCAGCAATCAGTGCAGCTTCCCTGCCACCTGACTCAAAACACTGTAGAGCACCACGTTGCTGCCATGATTTCTTTTTTTTTGTTTTGGTCTTTTTGAGAGAGGGTCTCGCTATGCAGTTCAGGCTAGCCTTGCACTCACTCTGTAGTCCAGGCTGGTCTTGAACTCGCAACGATCCTCCTACCTCAGCCTCCCGAGTGCTGGGATTACATGCATGAGCAACCACGCCCGGCACTGCCATGATTTCTTAAGTGCCACAGAACATTGGGCAGTGCTTAGGCTCACAGCCAGGTGTGAACACCTCCAGTGATAGCTCATGCGGAGTTCAGAGCTCTTGGGGGCTTGGGTTTTCATTTTCCACTGCAGCTCTCAGGAAGACAGACATCCAACTGAGGGGTGAGAGGTTTCCTGTTGGTGTCTGCCCCCATCAGAACTGAGCTTCTTCCTGTCCCAACCCACAGCTCCAGAGTGGTTCCGACCATATACAGGCATCCACGCAGTCTTCTGGGCAGTGCATTCAAACCCCAAAGATGAAGCACTGTGTACCAGAGGGCATCTAGTACTCATGTCATGGCAGGCAGATGACTGTCTACCCAGGTGGTAAACTCAGTTTAAGAAAGAAAGGAATCACCAGCCAACAATAAAAATGAAACTGGAAAGCTGTCAAAACAGTCAATCTCAGCCCCATCTGTCAGGGAAGAGCCTACTCAGACAAGATGTGGAACAGGCAGGAGGAACTCTGAGGATGAAAGATGTTCTGTTACCTCTCCAGCCATACCTGGTGGGAGGTAGACATGCTCAGTTCAGACTTCAGCCCCTGTAATGTCTGTACTAAAGATGACACAGCCTTCTCACCAGATAGTGTCCCATCATTAAGTGTCCTGTAAAGATAAATGAGCATTCAGAAGATTCATACATATCCTAAATGACTGTCATCCTAAGCTATGTAATAATGCTCAGCTGAAGAGACAGACACAGTGAGAAGCTTTGCTTGTGTGGACCATCCTCCTGGCTGCTGGTAAGTCTCTTCATCCTGCCACCTCACTCCACAAGAACAAGGGCAGGAAGCCCTCTTTTGACTGTGGTCAAAGGTGGTAGGACCTGCCGGAGGACAGACTGAAGACCAACTACAGAGTGGCCCTCATGTTCACACTGCTGCTTTTGATGTTCCAAATAAAACCACTCAGAAACTATGCTGTTGTAGAATCAAACTGAAGTAAACATAGGAAAACTCTATGAATTAATTTTAAAAAGGCAAACATCAACATTGATTTTTCTGTTCCTACAAGGTACGGTGGGCACAACGCTGTAACAGGTGACTCTGGTCCCACCTGTGCATCCCCAGAGGCTTCAGGGTAACAGAGACACAGCGCCTCAGCCTTGGTGGATGCAGGTAGGGTGGGAGTGACACTGAAGGGTATCTAGGCCCAGAACTCTGGGGTGTGAGGGGAAGAACCAACCTTGGAAGCCTATAGTCAAAGGTATAGTAGCAATATTAGAATGCAGAAAATGAAATTTAACAGAATCTTTCAAGGAAGCCAGGCCCATTTATTCATCCAAACTTTATGGGAAGGGAAACTCAGTGTGAGCTCATTAAAACACAGTCCTGAAAGTCAAAGATACCCAAAACTTGAGAATTTCCTGAGAGACCTTGTCTCAAATTTAAAAAAAAAAAAAAGGCTCATTGGTAGCATCAGAGCACCTGCTTAGCATATATGAGGCCCTGGATTCAATCCTCAACACCATACACACAAAAAAGCAAGATGGTCTGCACCGGCAGAATACTAGCTGGTACAAGCAACACAAGCTCAAACCTGTCCATGGTGTGGCTGACCAAACTGGTCAGGAGCCCAGCGACACACAGCAGCTTCTGCCGTATCTTCTCTAGTCCTTGCTGCTGTTCCCAGACACTGCCCAGCTCCAGGGAGTCCAGGCGGGGGCCACTGCCAGGCATTTCCACTTTTGACTGCAGTTCTTGCACAGTCTGCTGAAGCTGTTCAATCTTATGTTCATCACGCTGGCGCTGTAATTCTAATTCTCGCTGTCAGTAAATGGCAAAAAACACAGAGAAGACTTCATGTGAGTTTTCCAAAGCCACCATTCAGCTGAAGGCCCACAGTGCAGCAATGCACAGAAGAGGCCTCTTTTTGGACCAGAAAGAATGCATGGCAGGGGGCCACACTCTGCTTGTAGTCCTCCCCAGGATTCTACCAACTAACCTGCCCAACATATCCACATGGCCAGAAGAGCCCCATCTTTACTCCTGAATGAGTAAAAATGTCACCACTCACCAGGCCCAGGCTGGCCCTAGAATCTGCAAGGGAGCCTGCAATACTGAAGTGGCAGGAGCAAGCTCCTCTCACATCCATACACACACACATATGCAACAAGCCAGCACAGACATGGATAAGCACAAATATGCATACAGCAGGCACACACACACATGGATCTGGACCTGCCGGAGAAATGTCAAACCAGTCAGGTTATATGGGCTGGGCTCTGGTCTGCCCTTCTGTGAAGTGAAGGTGAGTTAATTCACTTTATCCCCAGCACCACAGAAGTGATAAGCCATATACTGGGTGTGATGGAAATGACTGAAAGGTGCTTGGACTTCCTGCACGGGCCCAACTCACATGAGGCAGGTAGCTGAGTACACACCAGCAAGGAAGGCAAAGTGGGGAGAGGCAAGGCAGCTCGGTGGACTCCCCATGAGTGAACAAGGGTAAAGAGGTAAGAAGAGTTCCAGGACTGAGATGCAGCAAGCACCACATTAGGACAAGAACCCCAAAACCAGACTTGAGCCCCATGAGGAGGTTGCAGAGGGGCTGTCCCCAGCTCTACAGTCCACAGTAGTAGGGTGCAGCAGGAGCCTGGGGTGCAGTTTATGACATCAGCACTGTGCACACACACTGTTACCATTTTCTTGGAGAAGAAAGTTAAATTTATTTTGCCTGGAGTTGGCAGCTCTGGCCTTGCAAAGACTCCTGGAGAAGTTCTAGCAGCCTGGCCAGAGAAGAACACCTGGGCCTGCTGCAAATACTACCAGACTCTTGCAACCTAAAGTCGCATGGAGTACAGTTTCCTGCTCCACACACAAGATGTTTTCTCTGTATTTACTTTCTAGAAATATTCCACACCAATTGCCAAGTGAAAGGATTCAGCTAGAAACCATGGGTACAGCCTGGGAGCTCTCAGGGTGAAAACTGTATTAGCTCAGATTCTCTTCCCTGGATATAGGTGGGTACAATGGCAGCTGGGCCATAAGGATCCCTGTGTGACCAGGAGTCATAGTTGCCTCACAGAGCAAATGGGGATCCTGCTGGCCAGACTGCCCATGTCTACACCCCAAACCTTCCCACCCCTCCACACAACGACCTGAGGCCTGGCCCTCCAGACAAAGTTCCACAGCCTACACCTCCAGATAACACCCAAGACCTTTGCCTTCAAACTCCCTTGCTCTCCATACCTGCAAATGATGCCACTCCGCTTGTCTGTATCATTTCTTATGATGAAACACTGTAATTATTTTGGAATTTTCTTAAGCAACAAAAAATAATGACCTCAAACATGATACATTCAGTGATCACTACAACTTGAGTCCTGAAGACATCTTCCCACCTAAAGAAAGCCAGTCACATAGGGCACATACTGCAGAGTCCCATTTACTGTGTCCTGAAGAGACAAATCCAGATAGGTCAGAGCAGGGGTCACCAGGCTGGGAAAGAGGATAGCGAATACATCAAAGCACAAGAAGAACTTCACTTGGTGACAGGAACTTGCTAAACTGACTGCCACGATGGCCGCATCTTGTAGAATACTCTAGATCCCTGAACCACACAATGTAAATCTGGGAACTCAACGTATATGCATTCTATCTCATAAAGATATTGAAAACTATCAAGAAAATCTCTGATATGTACTTAAAAACAGTGCAAGACATCTTGGAATCTAATTTATCTTTGAAATATTTAAAAATCCAGAGTTTTGGTTTTAGAAACAGATGTTCCTTTACTATTTCACTAAAGTTAACTCCTGAGAAAGACCAGGCCATTAGTTTCACTAATCTTTTTATAATTTCATAAAATAAAAAAATCAAGCAGTGAAGATGTTCTTTAAAAGCTTTTGTTAGACATAGAATGCATCTAAAAGTCAAAGTCCATCCAAAAAATGACAGAACAAGACCATATCCCAACCCAACCTTAAGGCCACTGTTACCTGATATGAAAACCAAAGATATCACAAGAAAGATACAGATGCAACAAACATAGATGCAAAATCTTCAACAGAATATTAGCAAATTGAATAACCAGAAGCATATCAAGAGAATTCTTTACAATGATCAAGGAGTCACCCTAGAAATAAAAGAATGTCCATCAGACCAAAGCAACCACCACAGCGCTGAACAAATGTCAGGGTTTGAAGAGACTCTGAGAAATAGGTTCACAAAATCTAACATTGTCATTATTTAATTAGGAAAGACTGGACAACCAAGAAACAGGAGGGATTGCCTTGGATAAGAGGCATTGTCAAGGCGCATAGCAGGCAGCACATAAGCAGGGGGAGCTTGTGCCTCCTGGCCAAGGTGAGGACCAGCTGCTCTCAACACTGCTCCAAGAAAGAAATAAAAGTCACTGGAAGAAAGGAAAGGAAACTGGACTATTTGCAGGTGACATAGTCCTATATATAGAGAGAATTCTTCTAAAAATAGTAAAAGCTGGGCAAGGGATGTAATTCCATGGTAGAATGTGTGGATGGTACATGTGAGGCCCTGAGTTCAATGACTAGTACCACAGAGAGAGAGAGACAGAGGGAGAGGGAGTTATTTACATTGGAAATCAATATGCACATTCAGCAATGCAGCACAAGATCAATAACACACTGATGACAATCTGAAAATAAAATTAAGAAAATAATTCCATCTGTAATCACAAAAAAAAATCATAAAATACACAAGACTAAGTTTCCTTGAAAGAAGTGTAGAGCTTATATTCTAAACGCTACAAAAGACGCTGGAAGGAAATCAAGGACCTTCGTGACCAGAGACAACTGATGTTCACAGACAAGCACATTTCCTTTCCTAACACAATACCAGCTACAGTGCCCTTCAGATCCAATGCAACCCTTATCAAATATCAATGATCCTTCATGCAACCTTCAAATTCACATGGAATTGCAAGGGGAATTCACATGGAATTGCAAAGAGCAAAAACAATCTTGAATCATACATCCTCATTACAACTTGCTATAAAGCTGTAACAGTCCACACAGTGTGGTACTGACATAAAGACCAAAGAAATGGAGGGCAGAGGCCAGAAAGAACCCCATGCCAACTTTCCTAACATTCCAATCACTCCTCAAAGGTTCATAACCTATGCAGGTGGCTCTCATCAGCTTCTCCTTATCGTTTTGCCACTACTTACCCTTCTCCAAGTTGACTTGGCTCAACCTGGGCTGTTCTCCTTCTCTAATAAGTCTGTCCTCCTCACACTTTCATTCATGGGTTTAACTGCTCTAACTCTGCCTGTTACCAAGCTGATTTCTTCCTCGCTCCAGACAGCATCTTAGCTCCTGCCTATGGGTCTGCAAGGTGTCCACAGCCAACCTTAAGGTGGTACTCACCTCCTTTTCCTTCCCAAGCGCTGCACAGCGCTCCTGAACCTGGGCCTCCAGTTGCTGCTGGGCTTGCAGGGCCTGCTGCTGTGCCACCTGGAGTGTGGCCTGCAGTTCCAGCACTCGGGCCTTTTCCGCTTTCAGCTTCCGCAGCATGACATGGTGCGGCTGTGGCTGCTGAGCACCACGGCTCAGCTGCTCTGTCACCAGCCGCTCGTGCTGTAAAGCCTCTGAGAGCTCCAGTGCTCGCTTCTTCTCAGCCTCCAGGCTCCTCTGGAGCTCAGCAAGCTGGCCCCGCTCCTGCGCCAGCAATGCCTCACAACGTGACTGCTCAATCTGCAGCTCTTGCTGCAGATTGTCCCTCACTGTCCGCTCATGGTTCAATGCAACATTCAGTTGGCTGTTTTGAGCAAACTGCTTCTCCAAAGATACTTTTAATTCCTATATTTGTGAAAAAACAAATGGGAAAAGTTAAATACTTTTATGATAGACAATAAAAAGTTTTCTTGCTCAGACATGTTTACATACTTTCAGCAAAGATACCTTTTGAAAATCGTTCTACATAGTATGAACAAGAGTTTTTTTAATTATTATTATTTTATCACCTGACTACATAGATGAAGACTGTTTCAGAAGGAGCACAGAGGAAATGCACACACGTCCTATATTCAGAGATAGACTTTTCTCCCTTCCTCAAGAACAATGTACACTCAGGATACTCAAAGACAATACATCCTGCTTGCTACGCATCCATGATTCCATGTTGATGAATGACATACAGACTTGTGAGCTAGAGGTTTTGTACTTGCATTGTACAGAGGAGTTCCCCACTACCTCTACAGCTGCTGCTCTTCAGGATGGCCACTCAGGAGGCTGCATGCCTCTTCCAGGAGCACATGCTCATGAATAGCAGGCCACTGAGGAGGTCACATGCACTGCTGGCCATGTAGCTACCTGCCTTGTAGGGGGCACCCACTGCCAATGACTATTTTACCAGAAAATACAGCCCTGTCTCACTGTTTCAAACTCCTGTTGAGTGGACATGTTGCCACAAACAAGAGTAAGAAAGAAAGGTGGTGCATGCCTGTAATCCTAGCACTCAGGGAGGCTGAGGCAGGAGGATCATTTTAATATTTGGGCTGGCTTGGGCTACATAATGAGTTCAAGTACAGCTTAAACTGCAAGATCTTATCTGAAAAAAAAAAACAAAAACAAAAAAGGAAGGCAGATGAGGGCAGCTTCCTGCTTCTGACACATTGGCCGGGATGGCCTGAGTAGCCAGTCACCTCCAGGGCCTTGGAGCTCTGGCCCTCCTTCTGTAGGTGCCGCAGCTGCTCTTCCTCCTGCTGGGCCTGGAGGATACGTTCCTTTCCCCGCTCATGCTCCAGCTCCTCCAGGGCAGCCTTTAGATCACTTTCCTTTCCATCCAGCAGGGACCTGTGCAAGTGAGATGCCAAGTGGTACCACAGTCGGTCAGGCAGAGGTAAGGTGGAGGTGGTGGTGGTGGGGTCCCCCCATCGCCCATCCATGTGGCTCTATCTCTCATTCCCAGACCCCAGACCCAAAGGTACCTGCAGCCCCATCACCACAGCAGACCCAAAGACAGCAGGACTTCAACTGAAAGAAAATAGACCAAGCAGGGACGCACCTCAGCTGGAGAACCTCACGTTGTGCCTCGCCAAGTGACTCCAGCAGCCTTGTGTTCTCATGTTGGCACTCACGCAGCTCTGACTGCAGGTCCTGTACTGTGCTCTGCTCTGCTGCCAAGAGCTGCCGCACGCCCCTCGCTCTCTCCTGCTCTTCACTCAGGGTTTTCTGTAAATCACTTGCTATACACTTTTCCTGCTCAACTTTATATGCCAATAATTCAACTGAGAAAGATTAGAAACATAAGACAGCATTATTTATGGGTTCGAAGTGCAAAACAAAAACTGATGTTAAGTCTGACAGGACATTTATTAGATGGGGGGTGTGCTTGGATGTGGTCAGGAGTGATGGCATTTCTGAGACTTAGAAACCATCATTTCTAAGGGAGCCAGGTCAATCAGTGACACTTCATTTCCTCCTGGTCAGGAGCACAAAGATCAGCACCAACAATGTGTCCCCAAGGCCTTCCCAGAGTGCTGGTCAATCCTACCACTCACAGGTCACATGCACTCCACAGAAAAAAATTCAAGGCCCTCCATGGCTACACTGAGAAAGTCTACCAGAAGCTAAGGAAGAAACAGTCCCATTCTGAACAAATTCTCCTAAAAAACACAAGGAGGAGATGCTTTCCTTGCTGAGGCTAGCACCTCCCAGCACCCAAGCTAGAAAAGGGCACAGGGGAAGAAAAGTACAGGTCAGGCCCCTCTGCACACAAAAGTGCTGGCAAAGCCCTAGCACACAGGGTCACAGCTCCTGTAAGGCTACTTTATCTGACAGATGTAAGCAGGAACAAAAGCACCTCCTCACACAGATCCCACATGTCATGGTTTATGTTGGAGGCCCCCAGTCCTCATGCCTTTACATTATGCATCTGTGATTGGTTCATTGTATAGTGCTTGGATTGATGGTATCAATGCTACACCCACATAGGGGTGGAGCCAGGATGTAATGTGATGGCAGGAAAAAGGCATGTCTCTCTTGCAGTTTCTGCCTTGCTGTTTGCAGCCGCCATGAACTGCGGCCCCACCATGCCACCCTGCCTTGGAGCCAACTGAGTATGGACTGAAATCTCCAAAAACTGTAAGAAATAAATCTTTCCTTTCCCAACTTTGGTCATCAGGTATTTTGTCTCAGTAATAAGTAAAAAGTAACTAAGACAGAATTTGCCTTCTCACTAGGAACCTCCAAAAACTGTAAGAAATAAACCTTTCATTTCCCAACTTGGTGCATCAGATATTTTGTCTCAGCGACGAGTAAAAAGACACCACACATGAACAACAGGGAGCAAGGAAGGGTATCTACCCATGACTGGCCTGGCACAGAAGCCAGCAGAGGATGATCTGCCTAAGAACTGCTTAGAAGTTGAAACTGATGACAAGCTCTTGAACTCCAGCACCAGCTCCCCTGGGGTCCTCCTATACTTGCCCCTGCAGTGCTCTGAGGTGGCACCCACCCTGCCTGCGCAACTGATGTTCCCGTCGACTGCTGCGGGCCTCTGTACTTGTGAGTGCTTCACACAACTGCTGCAGCTTCTCCTGGTTCTGCAGGTGTGTCATGCGCAGCTGGGCACGCAGGGCCTGAATCTCTGACAGCAGGGTGCTCCTGTCGGGCAGGCAAAGATGTTCACAGGTCTTCTCCTGCAGGTTTCCCAGGGGTGGAGAGAAGAGACTCTGTAAGGAAACCAGGCAGAAAGGCAGGAACCCTGCACACCCCACTTCCCACAGCCCCACCTTCCCAGGCTACAGGGAACAACTTGTTGTGGAACCTTGAGTGTGGAAGAGTGCACAACACTCAGACCTTGCTCTCAGGCACCTTCCTGACCTCTACCTGGTGGGCAGCTAGAGCCAGCCCCTTGCTCTCAGGGCCAGTCTGCTCATCTGGGTGCCAGTGTGCAAACAGGTCCACACTGTCCCACAGTTGATGGCCATCATGTGTGCAGTGTCCTTGATAGCTGGGAGGTCCCTGGGAATGGCTCTTCTGTCCACAGGAGTGAGACTTGGGGAGAGCCAGTAGAGTTGTGAGGAGCCATATGTGAATGCCCGGCACGACAGGGTTTCCCCAGCCAATTGCTACCATATCCCAAGGTGAAGAGCACATGAACCAAAACTCAGAGAGAAGCAGATTCCATCACCCTTTCCTGGCTTCAAGGCACAGATGTAGGGCTGTTGCTCACCTGCTCTTGGACAACCTTCTCCAACTTCTTACATGGGGAGCTGTGATCCCCTGGGTCTGAGCCACAGGGTCCAGGCTGCAGCTCTGCTTGCACCATCTTCTGCTCCCTCTCAAATATCCCCTGTGTGGCCTGTGGAAACTCCTCCTTCCAGTCGAGGTTCAAATCCAGGGGCTTCTGCAAAGTTAAAGCAAAGAACCTTAATGCTGAGCTGGGATACAGGCCAGTGGGTGATGGGGCCAGCATACATGAGACCCTTGGTTGTACGCCCAGTACCACTAAATAAATAAATGAAAGGAAGGAAGGAGGGAAGGAGAGAGGAAAGGGAAAGTGTCTTAGTGCTCTTGCTAGTGCGTGCTGCGAACTCCTTGCAGGCTGAATATTTGAGTCTCTTACATTCACCCATCAAGACTATACTTGGAGATAAGACCTCACTGAGGCTGAAGAGGTCATAGGGTGCCCTAGGTCTGGCAGGACTATGGACATTCATTAGAAAAGGAAAAGGCACCAGCACATGTTCTCCGTGAGAACCCAGCAAGGAGGAGGCCATCTATAAGCCAAGACCTGAGCCCTCCCCTGAGCCCTGGCCTCCTGGCACCACACCTCCAGGTACCCAGACCCACTAAAATCTGTGGTGATTTGTCAAGGCAACTGAGCAAAGGGACAGCAAAGGTAGCCACTCCGATAGGGGAGAGGACATACAAGTGTGAGAGGCAGACGCCACCATCATGAGCAGAAACTGACACAGATGAGAACAGTGAAATTCTACCATGCAACAGGTCCTGAATGTCTCTCCTCTTCTCATTGTTGCACCAGTGGGCCCCTGGTCTGGAGAGGGCCCAGCAGCCTTCACAGATAATGGCCAGGAGCAGGCATCCCATGGCTCAAGAAAACAGCCTGTCTGCAGCAGGGCTGGTGGCCACCCAGTGGGTACCAACCACAGGCTATCATTTTCCTGGCATAGGGACATAGACCTTCTCTCCTTCCTAGCTCGTTCACCACAGCAGGAAGAAACAGGTGGGAGCTGCAGGGGAGGCAAAGTAAGGCTCATTCTGAGGCCAAAGAAAAGCACCCAATGTCCATTTCCTCATGTTGTGATGGCCCCTGAGTTCTGGGAGATGACAGCAGGTGACAGGGGCCAGCTCCAAGGGTAAACCCAGGTTTGCATGGAGGAAGAAATGTTGTGTGCACCTGCAGGTGCCCACCAGTCCTCAGAGCCTGTTGGAGCAGGAGAATACCTCTGGTCTTTCCCCCTCAGGTCACAAGGAGATCACTTTCCTCTGATCACATAGAGGCACCAAGACATATCTGCTGGGAACAGCAGGTAGAGGCAGCTTGGCCGTCAGGTGGGAGCTATAGTTCTTGTTTGCAATCTGTGCTGCTCTAAACGGACCCTTATCTCTATGCACAGCTCCTCTTGGTTTCTGTGAGCTTGAAACAGGTATGCAAGGTGAACATAATATTTCCTCAGCTACAGTGTAGCTTGGAGCATGCCAGGCCCTGGGTTCAACCTTAGCATGAAAAAAAGAAAAGAGAAAAGACAAAAGAAAAGAAAAGAAAAAGAAGACTCTTTTTCTTACTGAACAATTCCATACCTTCTCTCCTTTCTTAGGAGTCACCTCCAATAAGCCTTGCCCCTTGCCTAGAAAATAGGCCAAGTGAGCATATGGCTCCCCCTTGCTTAGGGTGCTGGGGAGGTCTCGGCTCTCTGACAAGGCCAGTATCTGGTGGCTTTCATCACACACCATCTGCAGCAAAGCCTGCAGGAGGAAAAAACATGATAAAAGGAAAAATGACCTGAAGCCTTCCCTACGTGTACTATGTGGGCACCACAGCTTGGTGCTGGGCAAGTCTGTGGTGCAAAAGGATGGCCACTCTGCCACCCATAAGGCCACCGTAAGGTGGCACTCCAAACAGCTATTCATTGTCCTCACTGTGAAGACTTCAAACATCACTCCCACAACTTCAGAGACCAAGAAACCAGGCTGAAAAGGGGTTCTAGATAAGCTCCTCCAAGGCCAGGCCCACCCCACTCCATCCCACCCTGCCTATTCTCCTTGGGGTACTAAATCTCCTCTACAGCAGGGCCAGGTTGGGCTGGGCTAAAGATCTTGAGCATGTCCCTGGCCCTCCTGGGACTACATGAAGACCACTTGTGCACAAGGCCCAGATGCTGGCTAACACCAATGGCCAGCTGAGGCAAAGGCAGCTGTTTCTGCAGAGTGTCAGCCCCTATAGCTTATAGGTCTCCTCAGACCGCTGCACCTGGAGGCCTCACAATAGGGCACGAAGGATATCAGGTCTGCCCAGCCAGGATGAGAAAGAGAGAAGGCAGTCTTGGAAGCCAGTGCCTGGCCAGAGCTCAGTGCCACTGAGTCTGGCCATATAAAAGCTCCTGCTTGAGACACCTGTCTTAAAAATGTGAGTTAAAAATATAAACAAAGTCCAAAATGTGGGAAGTGCAAAATTAAGCAATGACACGGCCTATAGCTGAAGTACCACTTAGCTCACTGGAAATATATTTTGTCATACAATGTTAGGAACCATACTGTGTATTATGTTGACATTACAGACAATCTGACAATTTAAAACAATTTTACTCTAAAAATGTAGTGTCTCAATTGCAGCTCAATGGCAGAGCACCTGCCTAATGTGCTCAGGGCCCTAGGACTGCATTTCACATAAAATCGATGTTAAGGTCTCCAGTCAGGCTAAGGGTGAGCTAGGTGGCACAGCCCTATAGACCCTGCTTCCATTTGCACAGATAACAGTGAGAGCCAAGTGACTGGTCACCTCTTGGCTGAAGATGAGCCATTTTCTGTATTTTAAAATACGTTTTTTCTGGACCTTACAATGGGAATAAAATCCTATCTAAAAACATCTCTGAAAAAACCCTGCAATCCACACAACCTCAGCCCCTACACAGGGGCTCAGCCCCTATCTTTCTCACCAGGTCATGGTATACCTTGCTGAGATGAGTTTTGCCAGGGTGGGGAAGTAACACATGGCCCACCAGCCCTGGACACTGTAGGCAGTTCGGCACTTGGACTATGGAGTGATGGTCTAGCGTGGGACCCAGTAGCTAGGACTAAGAACGTTCCATCATGGAAGCAGTAGTTTATATGTGCCTCCCCTGACTCCTGCCTGAAGGTCCTCGTTTACTTCCGCTGACCCACAGCTCTTCCACTTACCCATCCTATACTCATGGTCCCCGGAGGTGACTGTGCATGACTGGAATCTCCTCTGCCAAAGATCTCCCTGTGCTGACCCAACCCTCCCAGCTCCCAGTGCAGGGCTACAAAAACTGAGCACCTGGGGGCCTCATGAGGGATTCACACAGAGAATATCTATGGGGAGCACGTACAGGGAACCCACATGGGGATGCCATATAGGATACTCAAAGGACCAAGAGGCACACACTCAGATTACAGATATGAAACACGTGGAGACCACACAAAAACCACACACATGGAACACACATGTAGATACACGGTAACCATACACAGAGAACCCACATGGAGACTACTTGGTAACCACATGTTGAACAGGGAATACGTGGAGGTCACAAGGTGATCACCAAAAGGGATACACAAAGACCATACATAGGGAAAACACAGGAACCACATGGGAATCACACACAGAAACCATACACAGAGACCACATGTGGCAAGTAGGTGGGGACCACAGAGAGCTTACATAGTGCCCATAGATGCAAACCACACAGACCATATGGGAACCACAGAGACTACATACTGCTGACACACGCAGACCACAAAGGCCTCAGAGCCTAGGGGCCCACATTTGCTCAGAAAGCGGCATCCAATTTGGCATACAGCCAGCTGGTGTGAGCAGGCACTCAACAACTGTCAAGTCAGGGCCCTCGCTGTACCTGGCACCACTAGAGGGTGCTCTAATATTCCAAAAAGATAAAACACAAATGTAAAAGAAGAAAGGCTTGTTTGAAACAGTCTGAGAAATCAAATAGAAATACATTTTAGGATTTTGGGTTTTGTGTGGCCTGGTCTGGCTCAGCCCAGGTTTGACCTCATATAACTTTGTGGCTGCTTCTTCAAAGACCTTGGGAACCTCCTCTGGCTTTTCTTTTTTAATTACAAAATACAAAGAATTACCACTAACAACCACACTTATTTCTGAAAATTAGGAACTGTGTTATTTTTATTTGAGCAAAAAACCCTGTCTTGGATATTTTATATTATATAAAGTTTAAATATAATTAAAGAAATAAACCAATTATTCCAATTTCTGTTCTTTTGGGATTTTTGTTGTTTTTATTTTGTTTTTGAGATAGGATCTTGCTGTGTAATCCAGAATGGTCTAGAATTCACTATGTAGCCCAGACTGGCCTCAAACTCACAGCAACCCTCCAGCCTCAGGCCCCAGAGTACTGGGATTATAGGCGTGTACTGTCATACCTGGCAAGATTTTTGCTGCTGTTTTGGTTTTTGGGGGTTTGTTTGTTTGTTTGTTGGTACCAGGGAACGAACTCACATCTCATGCTTGCCAGGCAGGTGCTTAGGCCACTGAGCTAAATCCCCAACCCCATGTTGTTTGTTTTTTGAGACAGGGTCTTGCTATGTAATTCAGGCTGGCCTCAAACTTGAGGAAATCCCCTGCCTCAGACTCTCAAATGCTAGGAGTAGAGGTATGTATCATCACAGCTGGTTCCAATTTCCATTCTTAAAGTTTTATTCTAAATATAATCTCAGAACTCAGTATCACTGAAACTGGGCATACATTCACTATGTAAGCAAGGCTCATTAGGGGCATGATATCATTTACTTTTTCAGCCATGATGACACCAGTGGCTTTGTCATCAAGTGACCTGTTCAACTGTGTTTAATTGGCTCTTCTATCTTCTCTGAAGAGAGCACCTCTCCAATCCCAAAGGCCTCACAAGCCGAGATTCTGAGAGCCCCCAGACAAGCAGCACTGATGGCCCCAGTGCCCCTCTCTGGGAGGAATATATTCTGTATGCCTGTTGCAGGGCTGTATTGAATGGTAGTTCAGCATGGGCCCAGCCTACTGGGGGTTTAGGCTGACAGGCTCAGTTTGGCAGCAAGCAAAGAGAGACCTGTTCATCAGATAAAGGAAATGTAGAAAAAGAGACCCATAGGACACTCCCCCACCATGGGATGTCTGAAAGTGTCATCACCTTCTTCCTGCTGAGGATAGCATGTCAAGAAAAGACTCATGGGTGCTGATCGCCTCACCAAGATCTGGAGGGCTCTCATGGTGACACCTGCCTGGAACACAATTAATATCAGAAACACCCGGCCAGTATGACAGCCAGACACACTGCCTCCTTCAGAGAAGACACATATGAGAATAAGGAGGGACAAGATGCTGTTCCTCTACAGGCAACGAGTTTGAGAAAAGTTGGTGGGGCTATCCCTCAGTGCCTGCACACTTAATTAGCACTCTACAGAGCATAAGGGACCATTGGCCCAGCTCACACACAGGCAGAGGGTCTCTGAGGTCTGTTTCCAAAACAAACGAACAAACACAATCACTCCCCAACAGATCATAAATTGTGATGGTGGGATCCAGGAAGATGATTCCTCTTCTCTGACTTCATGAGCTCAGAAAAACACAGGCAGAGCTCATTCCCTCCCAAAACCATGGTGCCCTCCAAAGGCAGCACCTCTCCTTCTGGAAACATAGAAGCCATAAAATTAGAAGCACACTTGACCCTCAGAGCCACCCATGCAGGGCTCACACACTGTAACACACTTTGGGCAGTAGGTGTGCAGTGTACTGGGCCTCCCTCTTCCCTATCAGCCTCACCTTCACATGCTTTGTGTGGACCTCCTTCTCCTGCATCTGTCCTGGTGGCTGCAGAAACCCTCTGGAGACAGGAGCAGCAGTCACAGGACCAGCAGTGGGAGCTGCAGGCTGTCCAGACCTGAGGTTTAGCATCGCTCCACAGCATGGGCCATCACCTATGAACACCACAGAGTCAGTGCTGAAGCACAACTCCCATCGAAGCAAACACTGGCACCAGGCAAAAGTGGTAAAACCATTTTTATAACACATAAGATGAGGACTACATATATTTTGCAGGTTTGACATTTAATCCCCATGATTTAAGCCCAAATCTCAAGGGTACCTCAGCTCTTTTTTACAAAGCTAATGTGCTGGTCCTTATCCCCACAGACAACCAGACCTGAGTCAAGAGCAGCAGGAGACACACAGGGTTTACACAGCTCACATCAACAGAGCAAGGGCATGACCTCAAGGTGAGGCTAAGCACTACTAAAGAAGCAGCAAATGTCTGGTTCAGAATAAGTGACTTGCCATGTGGCAAGACAGCATGGGGAAAGCCTCAAACACAGTTCAGAATGACTGGCACGAGGCATCCCATCTGACAGTGGGGTCTCCAGCTCTTCTGCTCTACACAGGCCCATCTAGTGTTCTTGGATCTGTAGCCCAAGGAAGCCTGTGGGGATGAGGTAGGACACGAAGCCAGCAGGAGGCAACACCCAGTGGGAAAGCTCCCCAACCAGCACCCAGCTCATTGGTAGAAGCTCTAGACCCAGAAAGGGTGCATGGAGATCTAAAGACAAGGTCTTGGGAGGATGGGTAAGTCTGATATCTCAGACATGCAAAAGCAAATGTTCTAACAAAACGGTGCAACGAGGAGAAGTAGCAACAGAAGAAAACACCAGAGAGATTACAATTAAAATCAGAATAAATACAGGAAGGGGCTCATTACTCAGGAGATAAAGAAATGAAGTCCTTGGGGAATGAGAAGCATTCTTAGCTGTCCAAAAGGTGACAGTAAAAACACTTAGCTTAATGCAAAGGTTAAGACAAAGTTCTTTATAAATCTCTTAGAAATGAAAATAAAAATCAGTAGAAGAAACAAAATTAGGAGGTCCATTATTTCATTAGTAAGAATTACAGAAAGAGGAGGAAAACCAGGGGAGAAATGGCCTCAAAAACAAAGAGAGAAGTTCTCTGACATGAGACACACCGACCAGGTCCTGCCTGTCACCAAAGTCTCTATGTTACCAGCGGGTTCAGGGCTGCATGACAAGCTCCAGGGTCATAGCATACAACTGTTGACCCAAATGCAACTAATGATGAACACCAGGGAGATGGGATAGTTCTCCTAAAACGACATCTCCTGCCAAATGCTTTTCCAGAAGCTTTCTTAAAAGACCACCAAGGAGGGACAAAGGGTCTGGTGGACCACCAACGACACAAGCAACAGAACAAGGAATGAGGGAAAACCCAAGTGTGCAAGCGGCACGTATGTGACAAGGAAGATGAAGCAAGTGGAGTCTGTTGGTATGCCATCCAGATGTTATTTTAAATGGCAAGAGTGACCTAAAAATAAGACAAATTATCACATCTCTAAGAATCAGACCCAGGTGAATATCCCCAAGGAACACTTATCCTGAGCCGGGACACATGGATGGCTACCGTGGAGTGCAGCTTGTAGAATACTCAACTGGTCACCTGTTTGTGAGTTGGAATAAATAAAATATAAAATTGACCAGGTGTGGTTAATTTTAACTCCACTCCTTTAATTCCAGCATTTGGGAGGCTAAGGCAGGAGGATTGCTGTGAGTTCAAGGCCAATCTGGGGTATGAAGTGAGTTCAAGGGTAGCCTGAACTACATGGCAAGACTGTCTCATAACAAACAAATGTTTCTGACATTAATATTCTGTAATGCTAAATTTCCAATGAATTACATTTCACTACCATCATTTATCAGAGTCACTGTAAGAGGCAACGATGATTTTTAAAAATCAAAACATCTCATGTACTAACTTGGAAGAGGGAAACATTATATGGTAGAAGAAAGCACAAAGCTAGAAGATAATGGTTTGGTAACCAACCACTATAACAGTTACTGGTTCAGGGAAGAACTGCCATAGAGGCCAAGGTCAAGGGGTAAGAGTTTAAGAAGAGAAATTTTGCAGTCACTAAGTCTTTCTACCGAACATCCATCCATGAAAAAAGAAGAAAATCTTGTGGGTACAGACACTGCCAAGGGGCCTATGTTGATCCCACACTTCCTGCCATGAGGGCAGGGAGAAAAAACTGCACTCCACATAGGAAACTTCAAGGATACATGAGACAAATGCAAGTAAGGAAGAACTGGCTACAAACCACTGCCCTGCTCTCCTCAAATGCAGTGTCTAAAAACTTGGAGAGAAGCAGAGGATGTGTACATAGGCTGGGGAAGTAGAAGCAGAGGATGTGTACATAGGCTGGGGAAGTAGAAGCAGAGGATGTGTACATAGGCTGGGGAAGTAGAAGCAGAGGATGTGTACATAGGCTGGGGAAGTAGAAGCAGAGGATGTGTACATAGGCTGGGGAAGTAGAGTGCAAGGTGAGCACAGGATTTGCACACCTGGCTTGCCTCCTTCTAGCTCTGTGGGCCCGGAACTGGAATACCCCAAGCAGAAGTTGGGTGAGCTGTCTGTAGTGGGCATTATTGGGACAACTGGCAAAAATCTGAGGAAGGACAAGGACAAGACACCAGCTATGGAGCAGTAGGAACTCCTGGTGTTGAGTGTGCTACTGCGAGCCAAATGCTATGAAATATGCAGTGAAGCACTCAGCAGAGGGTCTGCGACTTGCACTTAGCACTGAGGAACAACATGGTAAATGTGAATGCTGGGAATGTCTACTAGTCTGTGCTCTAAAACTGCTAAAGCAACAAATAAGAAAAGAGGACTGACTCACTTTTTGCACTCTCATCATTTTTTTCTTCTAATCCAGGAGGAGGAGATCTTAACATGTCTCGAGACTCAAAAGAAGTTGTAAAATCTTCGACATCCTTCTCCTATTCAGATAGGGACACTTTTAGATGATCACAAAATAAAACAATTTATTATATCACACAGCTAAAATTGTCACACAGACACTTCCTAAGGCCAATTTATGATCTTATGTAGAACCTAGATCAATGCATTCAGAACTCACGAACACACTGAGGCCATGTGCTCCCAACAACTTATATTTACCCATAGCATTAAAGTAGCCACTAGCAAATATTTAGAATTTTTTAAGTTTTGCATGAAATGATAGTAAATGGATACCTAAGATAACATACCCTAATTTTCTTACTCAATATACACAGAATCCCAACATTATTGTTAGGCAAAATATGATCTATCTGAAAAACAATTGTATTAAAATTAATTAGCATATGTGTATCTTGTGAAATACAAAATACTACTGAAACTAAATACAAAACCATTGTAGACAAATCACAAAAGAGGAAGGGTTTATGACTGTGCTGTAGCAGTGAAGGAGCCCTTGGCGGCCTCTACCAGGCCAGCATAGCTCACGTGCTGGAAACCTTGAAGCAGCCATGGTTCTGTGGCCCCATCTTGCAGCTCCCGCCCAGGAGGTGCCAATATGCCATGAGCCAACAATGGCAGCTGCTGTGACACGTCCCTGCGGGCAACTTGCCTGGACACAGCAGGAGTACTTACCGCAGCCATCCTCTCCACAGGCTGGTGATCAGATGACGGAGTTGCTGTCCACAAAGGGGTCTGTTCACCTATAGACCTGCCCAAGCTGCTCTGCAGCAGCCAGGATATGGTGTGCTGGGGGGAGCCCTCAGCACTACACAGGCTCATGGCACCTGAGCAGGGTGTTAGGGGGATCCTGGTGCAGGGCTCAAGGCTGGAATCCTTTCGCAAGACCTCAGGGGAGCTCCAAGAAGATAGGTCCTGTACTGTTTCTGGATCCTTCGGGGGTTTTGCCTCCTCAACACGGAGGGAGTCACTATGTACGCTGGTTTGTAAAGAAAGGCTCACATCCTTGGGTTTTATTTTTTCTTGAGTGGGAGAATTTGGCATTTCATCTATGATCGAGGAATCTTGATTTTTAATTACATCAGTTAGATCCCATGTAGTTTTATCATTATTAAGTGTATCAACAGGAAGTAGTAGATCTGCTGCTGCCTTGCCACAGGAACTACTACTAGAGCTATTTTCTGACAGGTATGTCAATGTCGAGGGCTGGAATCTGGACCCCACAAGGTCAGCGTCCTGGAAGGCCATAGAATGTGACAGACAGTTCAGTTTTTCTTGAAGTTGTTGCACCTGAGCTATGAGATCAACTTTTCGCAGCCAACAATCTTCTATCCATTTTCCCTGACCCTGCAAGTAAGAACAGGGACATAGTGAAACAAGGAACACAACACCACACAGCTATCAATAAGCCAGGACTGGCGTCTATGAGCAGCTGTACATATGTGTCCATGACCTCTGATCTCTCCGTATACTTAGGAGTTCAAGTTTAATTTCATGAAAGACAACTGTAATAACCTATTCTTGTGGTAATTTACTGAAGCCACAAGCTGTTTTTGAGTGAGGAAAACAAAGACTAGAGCCCTTGGATGCTGGGCATTAGAAGCTGGGGTGTGGTCCAGCAACAGAGCATCTGCCTAGCATTGCTGAGCTTTGTATCCAAACATGTTGGGAGCCGCAGCCCCGAGCCCGGTCGCCTCACTTGGCGGACGTGAGGCCTGTAGTAAAGAGTAAAGCCTGAGGTAGATTACCCCTCCCATCGAGCACGTTAGTTTCCTGCTTACCGCGTAAGCAACCCGCTCAACAATATAGTCTGCCTGGCAACTGATGATGTTAGCCAATCAGCTTGCCTTGCTTACTTTAACATGATTGGACACTGTATCCGTATATATACTGGTGCCACCCCTGGGGGGGAAGAAGAAGCCCGGAAGTAGAAACCCAGAAGGAGCCGCGGGGAGCGGACCAAAGGAGGCTTCGGCTGGGAGCGATCCCAGGGCAGGCTGTACGGAGAAGGAAAATAAAAGAAAAGGTTGTCCACTGCCAGGCTTTGTCGTGTGTCCTTCCTGCCGGCCGGGAGCGACATCGACATTTGGAGGCCCGCACGGGGACTGATCACCCCTGAGACGTGACAGCGGACAACGCTCCAGTACAGAGCTGCGAGACAGGTGAGTTGGGGATAAGCCTGGGCTCTGGGTGGCGCGCACCTACAGGGCTTTTAGACTCCCCTCAGGCTCACGCGTAAGTAGCGGATTCCTTGGGCCTCACGCGGTGAGTAACATATTAAAAGATGGGAAACATGCTAGGTAGCAACACTAAGAGCGAGGGTGGTTGTGGAGAAAGCTCTCAAGAGCTTACAAAAGTACGCAGGGTATTTGAGCAGGCCCAGTCGGGGAGCTCCCGAGAGGGGCCCGTCAAGGGGAACAAAGATGCTAAGGAGAAGGACGGGGCTCTAGCCTCGGAGTCGTCTGACTCCGAGGACGAGGGAAAGTTGAATGGCAAGGAGGCCAAAGAGACCAGCTGTCAGGAGCCTAAGTCGCTCGATAAGGAGTCGCAGGGTTCTTTCCCAGCGTTGCGCCGTGAATTGCGCTCCGCTCAACTTGGTCTGCGGAGGAGTAGAGAGCTCCTGAGCGCTCCCCGGCGCGAGAGGGAGGCGAAGCCTTCCGCCCCACCTTGGGGGCTGTTCCCGGAAGCGATCCCTCGCCACGAGGTGGCCGCCCGGGAGCTCCCTTCCTCTTCGCCAGAACAGGAAGTGATGCACGGGCCCCCATTTTCCGCCCAATCACGGCCGCCGTCTTATGCTCCGCCGCCGGCGGGTCGGTATTTTTACAGGCGGCTTTGGCAGGGGGGACGTTTGTCTCATGAGGTACATCCACCACCTGGGATAGATAGTGGCCCCTACGGGATATTTCCTGTACAAGTAGCTATGGGCCAGGGACGTAATGCATGGGAGCCTTTTGAGATAAAGCAGATTAGAGAACTTAAAAATGCAGTTACAACCTTTGGGCCGACTGCGCCTTACACCATTGCCATGCTGGAGAACCTGTCTTCTGGGCCCCTCACCCCCGCGGACTGGATTCAGCTGGCAAAGGCGTGTCTGCCCTCGGGTAGTTACCTGGATTGGCGAGCCTGGTACGCAGAGTTCTCTGCAGAGCAGGCTGAGAGAAACGCCAGTCGGGGAAACCGGGGGTGGAACAAGGAAATGCTTATGGGAGAAGGTCGGCACGCTGATGATCAGACTCAGTTCCCCGGCGCTGTCTATGAACAAATCAACGCCATAGGGCTCCGCGCCTGGAAGCAGGTAAGTGGTGCCGGAACAGCCTCCTTGTGTCTTTCAAAAATAATTCAGGGTACCACAGAGCCATTTGTTGACTTTGTGGCCCGAATGCAAGATGCTGCCGATAAGATATTTTCTGATCCGGGAGTGGCTCGACCGCTGGTAAGGCAGCTGATTTTTGAGCAATGTACAAAGGAGTGCAAGGCAGCGATAGCTCCTCATAAGAACAAGGACCTCAACGCCTGGATTAGGATATGTAGAGAGATAGGGGGGCCGCTCTCCAACTCGGGAGTGGCTGCTCTCCTGGCCGCGGCTGTACAGCAGAGGGGACCTCGCGGGTTAGAAGGGGAATGTAAGGCTAAAGGGTGTTTTGCCTGCGGGGAGCCAGGACACATTAAACGTCATTGCCCAAACAATACAGATGCTAGGCCTCGCCCTAGGAATGAAGAACCATATGTTTGTGGGCGATGCAAGAGGGGATCACACAAAGCTGAGGAGTGTAGGTCGGTCTTTGATGCTCAGGGCAACCGTATTTGTGGACGAGATGCTAGAGGGCCAAAAAACGGCCAGAGGGGGCCCCCTTCACAGGCGGGCCCCCGCCCCAGAGACAGGACAGCTCAGGATGGCAGCCTTCAACAAGGGCCACCCCTGGGTCAGCAGGTGTGGACCTCAGTGTCGCCTCCAGACTTATATTAGTGCCTGATATGGGTGTTCAAGTGGTTGAAACCACCTTTAAGGGACCGTTACCCGAAAATTCCGTGGGTCTGGTGATCGGGAGATCCTCCACGGCCCTTCGGGGTCTCATAGTAGTCCCGGGGGTCATAGACTCAGACTACACAGGACACATTAAAATTATGGTTCAATCTCTTGTGGGTACTATGGTAATCAATAAAGGAGACAAGATAGCGCAGCTCTTGCTGCTCCCCAGTCTCCACAAGAGATTCCCCTCAAAGCAGAAAATTAGAGAAAGTCAAGGTTTCGGTTCCTCAGGGGAAGTCTTCGAGGGACTCCATATAATACTTGATAAAAGGCCCATGCTCTCACTTAAGGTCAATGGCAAGAATATAACAGGGCTCCTAGACACAGGAGCTGACCGTTCCATTATCTCTAGAAAAGATTGGCCCTCCAACTGGCCCACCAACACTGCAGATAACACGCTGCAGGGCCTGGGGATGGTGTCAGCTCCTCAGGTTAGTGCTTCAACCCTGTTCTGGTGCGATGAGGAGGGTCATCAGGGCCATTTCCAACCATCTGTGTTGCAGTTGCCAGTGTCTCTATGGGGAAGGGACATCCTCACTCAGATGGATGTCACGCTTACGTCAAACTGCTCCCCCCAGGCTAAGAATATACTCAGGAACCAGGGATATACCCCCGGCAAAGGCTTGGGCAATGCCCTACAGGGTCGGACATCCCCAATACCAGTAGAGAACAAAAAAGGTAGGCAAGGGCTGGGTTTTTCTTAGGGGCCGCTGAAGAAGCTCTCCTACCCACTTCGATCAAAATCACCTGGAGGTCAAATGATCCGGTTTGGGTACCTCAGTGGCCCCTGCCTAAGGAGAAGCTATTAGCCTTGTCAGAAATAGTCAGTACACAACTTAGATTAGGACACATTAAGCCGTCAACCTCCCCATGGAACACCCCCATTTTTATAATTAAGAAAAAGTCTGGCAAATGGAGGCTGCTCCATGATCTAAGGGCGGTCAACGCGCAGATGCAGTCCCTGGGGGCGGTCCAGAGGGGGCTGCCAGCTCTCTCAGCCATCCCTCAGTCCTGGCCAGTTTATGTTATAGATCTTAGAGACTGTTTCTTCTCAATCCCCCTGCATCCAGAGGACACTCATAGGTTCGCCTTTACTTTACCCACCATTAACCAAGAAAGCCCTGATCTCAGATACGAGTGGATAACGCTGCCCCAAGGTATGGCCAACAGTCCCACTATGTGTCAGATTTACCTTGATTCCCTACTGGCCCCCCTACGGAAATCCTTTCCCAAGATAAGATGTGTGCATTACATGGACGACCTTTTGCTCAGCGGCAGGGACCCAGACATGCTAAATAATATGCTCGGCCAGTTGGTCGAGGCCCTGAGACAAGCTAATCTGCATGTTGCCCCCGACAAGATTCAGGGAGGAGAAATGGTGACCTACTTAGGCGCGAGAATCTCCCCTATGCTAGTCTCTCCGCAGAAGGTCACCATTAGGACAGATGGCGTTAGGACCCTAAATGACATGCAAAAGCTATTGGGAGACATTAATTGGATTAGGCCATATTTACATATACCAAATTCAGATCTCAAACCCCTGTTCGACCTTCTGAAGGGAGACCCAGATATAGCCTCCCACAGGAGGCTCACTCCTGAGGCAAGAGCTGCCTTACAGAGAGTGGAAAAAGCCTTAGGTGGGGCTACCTTACACAGAATTGAACCAGGGCGACCCTTTGATGTCTGTTTGCTACAGACTAGTCTACAGCCCACAGCGGTGATTTGGCAGAAAGGACCATTACTGTGGATACACCCTAAGGTCTCACCTGCAAAAGTCATAGAGCATTACCCGGAGGCAGTCGCTTCATTGGCCCTTGAGGCGCATGATAGAGCTGTCCAACATTTTGGCTCAGGACCACAAGCCATCCGAGTACCCTATACCGCCAGCCAGATCAAGACCCTGGCTGCCTGCATAGATACATGGGCCATTCTGAGATGTGTTTTCCATGGGGATATAAACAATCAATACCCTAAAGACCCTATCTTGTCATTTGTCACTCAGCACCCTATAATTTTTCCAAAGGTTACTGCCTCTGAGCCATTAGTCCCAGCAACTACAATATACACAGATGGCTCCAAGACGGGGATAGGCGCCTATGTGATCCTAGGCAAGCCCCCGGTTACCATACAATTTGAACCTGATCAGCCTCAGGTGGTGGAACTGCAGATCGTTAAAATGATTCTTGAACGGTTCTCAGAAGCCATTAATATTGTCTCCGATTCTAGGTATGTGGTCAATGCTATGCAAGTGCTTGAGACTGCCGGTTTAATTAGATCCACTTCCACAGTGGCTGGGCTGTTCCTGTCTATCCAGACATTGCTTCAGAACAGACACCATAAGGTCTTCACCACCCACATAAGAGCACATACATCCCTGCCGGGGCCCATGGCACAGGGGAATGCGGCTGCTGATACTGCCACTCGCCCGTTATGGATTTTTACTTTACTAACACCAATCGAGCGAGCCCGTGCCTTCCATGATAAGTTTCATGTCAATGCCAGGACACTAGCAAACCATTTCCATGTTTCCAGAGCAGATGCACGAGATATCGTGCGACTATGTGGCTCCTGTGCCACATACAAACCTGCCATACCGATGGGAGTAAACCCTCGAGGTTTGATCCCTGGTGATGTTTGGCAGATGGACATCACACATATACAGGAGTTTGGGACTCTTAAATATGTTCATGTTTCCACAGACACCTGTTCTCACGTCATATTCGCAACAGCAGAAACAGGTGAAAAAGTGTCTAATGTGATCAATCATTGCCTGGCGGCTTGGGCCGCATGGGGCAAACCAAAAATATTAAAAACTGATAATGGACCAGCCTATATAGGCAAAGCCTTCAATGAGTTCTGCAAAATGATGGAGGTTCAATTAAAACATGGTATCCCATACAATCCCCAAGGTCAAGGAATCATTGAGAGGGCTCATAGAAGCCTCAAAGAAATTTTACAAAAACAAAAAGGGGGAGTAGGCCAAGGCCTGGCCCCAAAGGCGCGATTATCCATGGCACTATTCACACACAATTTTTTAAATTTAAATAATGATAATTGCTCCCCAGCCGTGGAGCACTGCAACCCTTCCCCCAACCATAAAGGGTGGGTGAAGTGGAAAGATGTCCTGACAGGACAATGGATGGGCCCGGATCCAGTGGTCAGCTGGAACCGAGGCGCGGTTTGTGTTTTCCCACAGGAATCGGGACGAGAACCACTGTGGGTACCGGAGAGACTGACACGGGCGACAAAGCCCTCGACTGAAGATCAGACCTGCCCTACCGGAGATCCATCACAGACCGACCAACAAGATGAATAGAAATAGCGGTAGCCCAAAATGGACAAGAAGATCCTCAGGCATATGCATGGCTCGCTCGCCTAGCCTACGACCGAGTCTAGGGACGGTGAGCTTCCCACACTCCTCCTCTAAAAAATTATGACATAGCTGGGTAGGAGAGTCAATGACGGGTAAGAGCGTACTCCCCCGGTGCGACTCAACCTAAGCCAGGCCCTACCCCATCCTGCACGTAAGCCGCTGGACTGTTAGATGCTGCCCAGGTCTAAATTTCTCTCCGAGGGGATTTCTTTACGGAGAGGAAATGAGTGCAAGCTTGTGTGCATCCAGGTTCCGTCCAGTTTGTGCCTGGCCCTAGAAAAAGGACGAGGGCCTCAGGGCCTTGGCAGACCATGGGACGGCCGACCAGGGTCTAAGCCAAGGACCTACGGTGGGCCTACGCATAGGGCATAAGCCTCTGCACCCAGTCCAGAAAGGGCTACGATGCGCACATTCATAAAAAATAAAAAAGGGGGAGATGTTGGGAGCCGCAGCCCCGAGCCCGGTCGCCTCACTTGGCGGACGTGAGGCCTGTAGTAAAGAGTAAAGCCTGAGGTAGATTACCCCTCCCATCGAGCACGTTAGTTTCCTGCTTACCGCGTAAGCAACCCGCTCAACAATATAGTCTGCCTGGCAACTGATGATGTTAGCCAATCAGCTTGCCTTGCTTACTTTAACATGATTGGACACTGTATCCGTATATATACTGGTGCCACCCCTGGGGGGGAAGAAGAAGCCCGGAAGTAGAAGCCCAGAAGGAGCCGCGGGGAGCAGACCAAAGGAGGCTTCGGCTGGGAGCGATCCCAGGGCAGGCTGTACGGAGAAGGAAAATAAAAGAAAAGGTTGTCCACTGCCAGGCTTTGTCGTGTGTCCTTCCTGCCGGCCGGGAGCGACATCGACACAAACACAAGTTTATACCTGAGCATTGCAGTTACAACAAAGCTGTGGCTTGAATAACAAATGTGGAAAGCACCCTCAAGAACTTGGCTTGCGCCCCATGAAGGCTGAGTGAGCTCCTAAAATCACAGTGTCTGTCATGAGGGCACTGAGGAGTCTGCTGCACAAAGCTGGGGGAAAGGTTTCTTTCTACACAAAATATGTTTCCTGAAACACCTGAAGACACTGGAAACTAGATCCATATATCTTCTCTGAGAAGCCTCATCAGGCTTACATCATGCTCTGATAGCACACTGTCAGGGTACTTAGGAAGTCAGAATTGTTCAGGCTCTTAGTATGAATGTAGTGCACAAGGCACAGACAGGAGGGATTTGGGAGGTCAGGGCCTCCAACCCTCTCTCCCAGTAATAATATTCACACCGAGGCCACAAAAGACTGCAGCACCATACAAGGTTTGACACTTCCTTTGGGAAAACAACTGATCAAACACCTTAGGTCAGAAGTCTTTTGTGTATCAGAACACAAAAGACTTATGAGGTTTTGGTCTGTTTCCTAGGCAGCAGTGCAGACAAGATAGCAGGCAGCAAACCAACCTGCAGGAAGCTGCACTGACAACAGCAGGACAGGGTCACCCAAAACATGCAGGGTATGCTTCAGGCAGAACAACTCCAACCAGTGTCAGTATTTCTAGGAAGGGCCTGGGCATACATGGGTTCAAAGAGCACCACACTACACACTTACTCTGCACAATCTGAAGTTGCACAAGTGCACCCTCCTCCGCCAGGGAAGAACTGAACCTTTCTTGAACTGAAAATACAAAGTCCAAAAGAAACTAAATCTGAAGTCTTTCAAAATAATACATAGTCACTGACAAACCCTGAAGCCAGGGTGAAGCTAGGGGACAACCTGGTCTTTACCACAGAATGCCTAGCTGCTTAGTCCATGTCAAATGTGTGTGTCAGAGTCTTAAAGTGTACAGGAGACTTCAGAATGGACCAGGAGCATCACTACAGAAGGGCAAATGGACTCAGACAATATACTACCACATGCAGCCTATGGACGATCCCATGCAGGCCAATGGTCTGAGCTCAGCCCAGATGTGAAGGATATGCTATGTCCCTCATCACCCTAAAGATGGGCATGCCCACATACTAATATCCTCCAAGTACCTGCTCATTTCCATGCACCTGCACCCCCCCCCCACTTGTGTACCTTCATTCTCCTAGGAGCTCTGGTATCATCTTCCATGCTCAAACGTATTTCATTTTTCACCAAGAGCAGTTCTGCCTCCAGCTGCCTCTGGCAAAATGTAAGCACTGATACCACATTTTCTGGTTTATGGAGGTCAGCATCCTTTAGTGTACCCAGGACTTTGGCAGGCTGCAGATCATCCTTGACAAAAAAAATGGGAAGGATGCTTAGGAAGGTAGAGTTCGGTAAATGAGAAACTCAGATGCTATCAGGCCTGTCCCCCAGCCATTAGGGAAGGCAGTCTTGCCACACCTCATTGCAGGCCACACAGCAGCAAGGCCTCAGCCAGGACAGCTTCTCACACACCTGGCACTGAGAACCCATGGAACAGAGTAAGTGAGGCACCTGAAATCAGCAGGTGGGGGCAGTGAGCAGCTAATCTCACAAGTTCTATTCAAAACCAAACTGAGACATTTAAAAACAATAATTTATATAGGGTCTTCTGTTTCGAAATGAATAAACTATTTGATTAGAACCAGAGAGGGCAATTAATACCAAGTGACCTCCATGTTACAGTATAGTCCCTACAGCATTGAAGGAAGAGCTGTTTTTAAAAGTTTACATGACTTAAAATGATAAGTTTAAAACTGAAGAGCTGGGCATGGTGGCACATGCCTGTGATTCTAGCATTTGGAAGGCTGAGGCAGGAGGATCACTGTGAGTTTGATACCAGCCTGAAATGCATAGTGAATAGTGAAACCCTGTCTCAAAAAAAGACAATCAATCAGTCAATCAAGCTGTACAGAACAGGACCCAGCATGACTTGCTGGCAGATCCCAGCCAGGCCCAGGCAGGGCAAGCTCCAGGTCCTCCTCTTTTTCCTGCTAGGAGCCTCAATTGTTGACTGCAGTCAACACTGCCCAGCATAGAAGCAGTCACTCAAGTAAGAAGAGTGAAAGCAATCCAGCATCCACATTCCCAGGGAAGCCCCAGCTATGCCTCAAGCCTCCTGCAGCCCACAGAGAACTAAGCCTACCTGTAGGCCCCACCCATGAGGGGTGGAGGCCAGCCACCTGCTGCCACCTCCTTGCTCCAATAGGTCACCACTCTCTGTGTCCACATGAGGGTGTGGGTGGGTCTTAAGTACCCCACGGGCCTGTTGCTTGTCCAGCTCCACCTGGCACCTCAGGAACCACTGGTTCAGCACTTGCAGCTGGCGAGCAAGGTGGATACATTGTGCTCGCAGCCGCTGCAGCTCAGGAGGCTCTGGGGGCTGCTGTTCTAGGGTATGCCGGAAGCGTGCCAAGGCTAAGAGGATGGCCTCTAGCTCAACAAAGTGGGCCTCTTTCTGCTTGTTCATAGCATCAATTTCTAAATCTCTCTGCATAATTATAGCTTCCTTTGCCTTGAGGATAGCTTCAAACTCCTGGATCCGGGCAGTCATGTCCTCAACCTCAGCCTCCCTGAGGGCCACACTGTGTCCAAGCTCAGCCAGTTGTCGTGCAGCAGCCTCTTCTGCAGCTTGCAGGCGCTGCTGCAGGGCCTCCAGAGCCTTGCTGTGACCTTGTGACTGGTCAGCCAGCAGCTGCACCAGGGTCTCTTTGGCTGAGAGTGCAGCTTCTAGCTCTCCCTGCAGTGCCTGTCCCTGCAGTGTCTGTCCACAAGGGCCGTCAGCCTGGAAGCACAGCAGCTCACTGTGCAGACTGTCAGCTTGATGGTCACTGAGTTCATGTACCACGGGCCCCAAGAGCACCAGTTCACCCTGCAGCTTCTCAATGATCTCATGGAGCTGTTCAATTTCTTCTGCTTTGTCCTTTTGTAATCGTTCTTGATTCTCTTGCAAATTTTCAATAATGGATTTCAGCTCTTCAACCTCAGAACTTCTGTGGTATTCAACCTAAAGAGCACATTGCACAGGCCAACTGTAAATGAACAAACTTTAGTACCTCCCTTTTAGATACATAGTTCACCCTGAATTCATCCCACAGAAGTAGAAAGATCTGACAGACTAAAGAACAAACATCAGTAGGTGCAAACTAACAATAGCACGTACTCTGTGCCAGTGGCGTCAGGCCTTTTCTCTGAGACATTAGAGCTGCTTCACCACCTTTCCAACTCACTTCAACTCTCAAGCGCATGAGGCTCTGACTTGGCTCCTTCTCAGTCAGAAATGGCTACAAAATAATGCTTTCACCACCATTTAAATGTTGCTTGGTTAATATTCAAATGACTTCTATTTATATGATTTTTCTGAAGATGCATTTAGATTTTAGCTGTCATCCCAGCAAGAGGATAAACATAAGAAAGCTAGTCAGAAGATGGACATCAGCAAAGAGCTGAATGCAACAAGGACACTGCATTCTGTTTGACTGTGCAAACATGGCTACTGTTTGTCTGCCACAGCACAGGGGCTGTGCGCCCTGGACAGTGGCTGGCATCAATAATTGTCTCACTCAAGTTGTTCAACCTAACTCTCAACAATTTTAAGGAAAGAAATACACCATTTTATTTTTTTTACCCTTTATTTTATTATCTTCACTTCATAGATGGGAAAATTATAATTCAAATAATTAATATCTTTGTAAATCCACAAAAGGAAGTGAGAAAAACAGGTTGAAGTCTGAATGGCTGGCTCCAAATTCAATTTTCTCTTAAGATGATATCATTGGTTGTAAGCAGAAAACAGAAAAATTCTAACCAATGTGTGTTCTAACAATATTCATATAAATTGTTATAATCTGATGTTATGCTTCCAAAAAGTTGGAAGTTTAATAAAACAACACCCGGTTTTAAATACAGTTCCTTGGTGTTTTACATTTTAGAGCCACCTTTGGGTGATGACTTCACATAAAGGTTATGTTTTTGCAGTGTTGGGGACCAAATCCAGGGCCTCACACATGCTAGGCAACCACTTAAAATACAAACCTGGCCCAAAATACAAAAAACCCTAAGAAGTCTGACGGATTTTTCATTTTGGTTTGGATGATATCCACTATATACGACATCATATTTCTCAAATATGAATGCAATGCTATGAATTTAGCAAAAGGAAACTCATCTCACTCTGTTTCACACACTGGTCACTGTGTGCTGCAGACCTGTGTCACTGCACTGCATGTGCCAGTGAAGGTCTCTATAAACACATTTGTCACTATGTGCAACATCTGCTCATTCTCCAAAGGCTCTAACTACACTACAAGAAAAAAAGCACAATATGGAAGGGATAAGCCTAACATAGCTATTTCACTTAAAATACTGAAGTTGGGTTGGGGACACAGCTCAGAGGAAGAGCGCTTGTCTAACGTGTGAGGCCCTGGGTTTGGTCCCACTGCAAAACAAAACCCTAGAATACTGGAGTCATTGCACAAAGTTGGCTGTAAAATGTGAAACACCAAAATCTACAATCAGAACACAGTGCAACTAGGGCAGAAAAAAGATAGATTAAAGCTGGTGGAAGCACCAAAATAAAGACAAGTTCATTTTGGGAGGCTGAGATAAAGGGTGGATGCCACAACTGAGAACATACTCAGAGGGATCTCCCTGGACATGGTGGGGCCACTCCTTGTTCTGTCATTATGGTCCCTTCCAATGCAAGACAGTATAACAGGACCAGACACAAGTGCCACCTATCTTCCAGGGCAGGGCAGTGAGGATCCCCTCACTCCACTCCAAATGGCACTTGGTCTACAAACACTGCTGCCTTGGCAGACACAGCTCTGTGTGCCATCTAGAAATTCAACATGGGCAAAGGGACTCTGAGGGCCAGAGCAGGACAGGGGTGACAGAGCATAGTCAGATTGAGGCTGGAGCACCACACTGATGGGGATCTATATTCTTCAGATTCATCTTCACGAAAACTGACAGGTGACAATCACTTAACTCTTGGCATAAAAAGAAACGGAGAATCCCCTCCACACACAGGAGAGCCAACCTAGAATGAGGCAGCCTCCTACCCATGAGAAAGCAGACGTGCTGGAAGAGGGCCCTGCCTCCTGTTAAAGAGCAGACCTAAACCATCATCCCCCAAAGTGAGAGTAGCCCCTATAGGAGGGAGCAGACCCAGAGCAACACCTGTCCCCACCTAAGATAGTAGACCTACAAAGGAGTAGTTCCCAGACCCAGGGAAGCACAACAAAGAACAGCAGAGCAAAGACTAAACAACTGGCCCAATAGTGGACACATAGCAGCACCTGGGGAAAGAAGGAAGCAAATAGCTACACTAAGTTCAAAAGCCTCCTGGAATTCCTACTAGAGTCCTATATCCAGCAAAGAACAGAGGTCTGATGGAGTTCCCCATCTACCAGCAACAGTGAGAATCTGCCTTGGCTTGAATGGTGACTACAATCTGGGGGGAATGCACAGAGCGGCCGCTAGTGCAAGGAAGAAATTTTAAGATCCACCAGCCCTAAAGTTAGGCAGAGAAAATCATGACTAGCAGAATCCCAAGACTGCAGATCATGGAAAGAAACTACTCATTCCACACAGGAATTTTTTCTTTGACTTAATCAGTTTTCCTATTTTGCATTATATTTATCTTTTCTTTGTGTTTGTTTTTATTTGTTTGTTTCGGGGGTTTCTCTCCATTTTTCTTTTTAGTTTCTTTGTCTTTATTCTTTTTCCCTTCTAACTTTTTTTCTTCTTTCTTCATCTCCCATTTTTGCTGTGTAACTTTTTTGTTCCTGTTCTTATTTATTCTGTCCAGCAACTGTTCTTTTACCACTATTAATTTCCTTTTACTCCTTAGTAAGATCCCCTATCTTACTTTTCTGTCTCCCTCACATCCCACTGAATTTCCAAATCCCACATTTTTCATTCTCTAGATCCCCAGCCATCTTTATTAGTATAACTACTAAGCTTTATGAATCTCTAAATAGTCAAATTTATGCTACTGCTATCGAACACTGTATGACTATTAGAAGTACAGTTCTGCTTAGTAGGTATTTATTGTAGGTCAATATTTGGTTTGTCTTACTGTCCATACTATAATCACAATCTCTTTTTATGGACAAGGGTGGTACTTTATTGGCCCTTCCATCTGTCAATATTCAGTTTGAATTTAATGCTATCGTCAGTGCAGTATTGCATATTACAATAACCAAGGTGCCATAGCTGTGCTATTAATCGGTTTTCTTGAGAATTTAATATCTCAAAGCCTTGGGGACATTCACAATATTGTGGCCCATTCCAGCAGAACTAGGTACTAGGCCAAACACCCTGCAACCTCCCATCTCAAATAAATGTTGGGGTAGAGTACTGGGACAGACATAAAGGCCAGTAGTTAGCCATGCCCAGAGGATACCACTGAGAAGTACACACACTGGAAATAAAATCTTCCATTACAATAAACTCCCAAGCCTCATCCCAAAACAAATGAATAAAGACAGAAGCACGGAAAGACAAGCCAACAAAATGCCTCCAAACTTCCCTCAAGGCAGCATAGAAGAAGAAACCAAAAGTCTCCCACCAAAACTATCTGAAATGATATCAGGGGAGATCACAGAACAGTTAAGGCAATTGGTAAGATCACAGGATGTATACCTAACTAAATACTGAGCCAATATCAAAATAAAATCACTGGTGAGTCTAAAGAAAATACTAATAAGAAGATAGAAGAGCTAAACAAAATGATGCAAAACATGCAAGACCAACATAGTAAACAGTAAGGGTCATAAGAGGGCTCTAAATAGAAATTCAGGAGATTAAAGATTCTATAAAAAGGATGGGTAGCAGAAGGACTGCATCTCAGAATTAGAAGATGCAGCTGTTAGTGAAAGACATTTGAAAAACAACAATAGAAGCTAGGAAAATGGTGGATCAATAAGCAGCAAAGTAAAGAGCCCCTCTGAGAGAAACAACTCAGATGTTGGAATAAAACATCCTGGAGAATACTAGACAAAAGGAGACAAATCCTCTCGACCCAGGAAGATACTAAAGGGGAAAAAAGAAAAACGTGGATGGAAGACTATAGCCAGACACACTCTCACCAGAGCCAGTCCCATTGTGTACAAAACACCACCACATGCGGTCGAGGTGAACTTGGGGGTTGGCGAGGCCAATGGCCTTGGCAGAAGAATGCAGTCACCGAGGGGAGTGGCAGAACGGAGAACAGTACCAGCTTGGAGATCTGCACCGGCTCACTTAGTCTTCCCGTGGGAGTGGGCAATTGGCTAGGGCAACATTTTGGAGTTGGGCAGGACAAGCCCAAAACTAGAATTGCAGGGGCTTCTGTCAGTCATGCCTAACACAGAGCAGGTTGGTGAGAATTGCTTGGGTTGAGTCCTGCCCCTGTGGGCCATCCAATAGCCAAGGACAAAGTCTCCCGGAACCTATCTCTAACTGGACCTGTTTGCATGGCACACACTAACATGGTAAAGACTCCTAGTGGGGGCTGGGGATTTAGCTCAGCGGCATAAGCACCTGCCTTGCTAGCAGATGGTCGTGAGTTCGATCCCCGGTACCGATAAAAATGAAAAAGACAAAAAAAAAAAAAAAAAAAGACTCCTAGTGGTTGACCAGCTCAGAAGGGAGGGGCCAGCCTGCCCCACCCCTGCTTGTACTTCAAAGGTCATCAGCAGGCTGGGGAGGGCAGCAATCCCTAGCCAGCATGCTTAAGAGTAATCACAGCCAATAGAGGAAGAGCCAGGGGCCCCCATTACCCACTTGTCTGGAAGAAACTGAAAACATGACAAAAGAAGGAAATAAAAAGAAGTCTCCAGCCTCCAACCCAAACAGTACTGGCCCAGGAGAGGTAAACACAGAAGAAATTGGGGATTATACACTTGCGGTTCCTGAAAAAGCAGCATTTGACATGAAGAATTATCTTTTAGACATTATAAAAGAACTCAAAACAGAAATACTAGTACAAAAGAACTAGTACTTTGGGGCTGGGGGTTTAGC